TAATTTGATATAGTTTTAATATCGTTTATTATATTGCATCGACTATAGTTTTAGTCCTTCAGTTTTGTTGAAGTAATTTTCTAATTAGTTAACTAGTTTTTTTTATTTATAAAGCATTATACTATATTTTTAATATCTTAGAATAAAACTCAGGTTTTATTAAATAAAATCTTATTTGTATTTCCGCTCACATAATGTTCTAATAGTACTCACTATTTTTTATTAAATAAAACAAAAAATGTCACATCATCGCAAAAATAGGAATATATATGCAAAAAAAAAGATAAAATTACATAAATATAATAATTTTAAAAAATGTTGATGATTAGCTATTTTAGATTAACTTTGTGAGTCATTGAACTGAACCATATGATCTAATGATAGAATATTGTCCAGTTATATAAACATAAACTAGAAAACGTGCACACACTTTAAACTTTAAATTTACTGAAGTAATAGACAAAGCTTTCACAAATAATTATTTATAATTACCAATTATGTGTTCCAATAAATCAATACGTCTAAAAATAGTACAAATTGGAGGGAACATAGCAAAGGATTTTATGTTATTCACCAAGGTCGTAAAATTTTAATTATTCGTAACTAATTAAGAATAATTAAATTTTTTTTTTGCTGTATACAGCAAAAAAAATTAACCGTGCTATTAATATTTAGTGAGCTATTACTATTAAAGACTAGTTGAGGTATATAGGTTATGACGCACATTACGTATTAATCTTATTTTAAAACACTGACCAAGTTAAATTATTTTTGATATCACTAGTATCATTATACTCTAGTTGGTTCATTAAATTTAATAAATATTAATAACAAACTAATTAATTAGTTTTGTTATTTACCAAGGAAATTGTTTATGCTTGAGTCGTATACTACCTAATGAACGTTTTAAGTTAATATGCTGTATTTCTACCTGATATTTACTCTTATAGAGTAAACACCACATTTAAATATATTTTTTATTTAAAATAAAATTAACTACAGGTGATCAATTCTTATCATATATTATAGTATTTTCTATTTTTTTTTTTTTTAATTTTTGACATTAATAAATTTATATAAGGACAGAGCATATTCTGAACGTGTCAGGAAGTTTAAAATTGAAAATCAACATTTAAAATTAATTAATTAGTGCGTATGATTGTCAAAATTCGCCATTTAATATAAAAGAGTTAATTTGTTTAATGAAACATAATTATTAAAAAAAAACTCTCATAATAATCATGACTAGCAAATATATTGTTGTATTAGTAATTGAGTAAATAATAAAATCAAGACGGACATACTGAAATTGTTTATCTTTTGTTTATTAGCAGGTCCCCTAACATTAAGTATTTGGATCTCAGTACAAAACCCAAAATGGTCCTCAAATTATTTTTTTATATTAAATAATAACCCAACTAAACCATCAAAATGTAATCCGGACCATTATACTTTGGGTCTAGCGATTCCCTTATTGCTAGGCCCTGTTTATTGAAACAGCTAAATATATAAGTAAAAACACACACATACACAAAGCAAAACTTAATAACAAAAAAAAAACGCCAAACAAGATTGAAAATTAAATATTTTAAACGACCAACAAAGGTACTATTAAATAACTCAAAATCCAACAAGCTATATTAAACCATACACCGTAATTTAATTTATCTACAAACCAGAAAAGGAAATTTCCAAGAGTAGCATAAAAACACATAACTGTTAATTTATACAAATGCAACTGAAAAAATACCTTTAAATTACGTAAAAATCGAATTTTATAGCCACCACATTTAAAACTAAATGAAAAATTGTTTGTATTATGGCAAATCTTTAAAAATAATGTTCTTTATGGATCATTATAGTCTACCAAAAAAATAGTACGGTATTAATATCTGAACTTCAGTGTCTTCAATATTTTCCTTACTTATTGGCGTATTGTATGTACTAAAAATAAAATAACCACAAGCAAACTACTTTTTAGAGTATCAAAAATAATCAATAAGATTTATACGTAATGGCATAACGGGAGAGGCTAAAAGGGCTAAAGCCCCTCTTTAAGTGTGTTGAACCAACATTTTAAGTAAAATTGATTGATAAATCCTGAGTACACCTATATCTATAGGTAAATAATAAATTTTCAAACAAATTACCTCAAGATTTTTATTCTTATACATTTTTATCTGTATGTCATATCTACTTATCAATTGTATACAAAAATATGATCTTATATATCATATTAAATTGACGTATACTAGATTTATAATTATAATTTAAAATCATTAAAATAAAAGTCCCAACACATTTAACTCACAAATATGCTTCGAAATTAATAATTTGAAATTATTAAAAAAAAAAAATACTTATACTTAATTCATGTATATACTTAGTGTATAGACAATTTAATAACTCTTAACAATAAAAAACGGTTAAATAAACTTTTTTCTCTCTTTATGCATCGTTCTGTACATTTTTTTTTTTTAGTTTAACCCACCTCCTTTCACTTAAAAACAGGTTTAATCTCAAAAAAATAAATCTAAGTTTGTTGGTTTTCCCCTGAAAAAAAAACAAAAAACATATACCTGTTGAAATCATTTAACAATCAAGTAGAAAACTGGATTAACAAGATGTAGTAGTGATACGCATTTACTATTTATGGTGTAATAACTATGAAAAAGGAGCCATCTTTTTTAATTCTTTTTATGCACCGCTGACTGTTGCAAGGGTTTATTTGTCAGAGGTAACGTTTGGGATAAAAAACGATTTATTTTATCGTATTTACATAACGATGGAATTAGAACTCAAAAGACTTCGCAATATGCCAGACTAAATAGGTAACTTTTATTCAAGATTACCATGAAGCATATTATGAGATATTATAAGTTATAACTTATTACAAAATATTATTTTTGAGTACATTTTGATGTAGCACATACTTCCATTGAAATTAGTTCTCATATTTCACAAAAAACATATACTCGATTATATTTCAACTATAGTGCTTCCAATCATTTTTCACTAGTTGCGCTCAGGGGCGAATAAGCAATTTATGACTTATCGCAATATATTAGTTGAGGCAATTTCACCATGTACCCCAAGCTTAAAAAAAAAAATCGCTTGTGGATTATTTTCGCTATAATTATTTAAATTAAGTATGACAAGGAAATGTTATTGAATTATTTATTATTTTTGATTATATATAAGCAAACGAGAAGGTTTCAGTTATGAAATAAATTACGACAAGGTCGAAGGCACTCCCGAAAAATTTCCCAAGTCCCATTTGGCTATCAACCCCTAATTGTTATCATATAAGCCTAGTTAAAAAATATAACAAAATTTCATAATTTCAGAGAATAATTAATTTTTGTTTAAAATGAGAATAGCTTTTTAAAATAAAAACATTTCTAGTCTCATAAAAAAATTAACAAAATATATTTTTTAATTTTTACTTAATGGTGTTGAATTATTTTTCTTTTTTGAATATGTGCTTATTTCCAAAGTATAAAAAAAATAAAATACTATTCTTAATTATTATTTTTTATGTTTATGTTTAGCGTCCCAAAATCAACGAGAATCCTACAAAGTCCAGCTCAATAGAATTGAACTCGTTAACTATGCACAAAAGTACAATACCGATTGAGCTCGACCCCTAATAATAATAATATAATACATTATTATTGAAAAATATATACATTTATGTATGAGTCATTAAGGTAGTGAGAAAAATTGAGAAGTCAATGCTTAAAGGCGGAAAACATAAAAGTACTACTGCTTATGTCATTCAGAATAAATTAATTAATGAAATTAAAACCATTTAAATATGAAAAACTGTATTCTATGCTAATTTTATAATATTAAAATATTAATTAAATTACTAACAATTGTGAGGTTTATAATAATGTCCTGTATTTAATAAAAAGTAAATAAAAAACAATACAGTGCAACTAATTACACAAGATAAGTTACAATAACCTTCGGAAAAATAGTATAATTTCAACGGAAATAACGATATGAAATTCTCATTATTATTATTATATATTTGTTAACAATTTAATTACAGATATTATAATTATTTATAGAATATTAATGTGTTCTTGACAAAAACGTGTAGTTTCTACTAAGTTCATTGGTGTACGAATAATAATAGTTTTTGATACTTACAGAAATAATACAAATGTCGTAATCATTTTAATAAATTATATATCATTTATAGTTGTTTATTATTGATTTACAATACAAAATATTTTCATTCAAATTCATAATTTTACCAAAATAATTTTTTTCATGGAGAACTTTATGATAAATCAAGGAAAGAAAAAAACATTTGACATTAATAAAGTGTTATGGAATAAAAAATATAAATTGAGTTAATCCCAGAAAAATATTCAGTGTCAAACCTTATAACATGTAAAACGGACTATGTGCTTTAGAATGAAAAAAGGGAAAATATACTAAATAAATAAGTATATAAATAAAGGGAAAAGTAGGGAGGAGAAATGTAAAATTTGTTTAACTATTTGTAATAAGTATAAACTTTTGAAGGAACTTATGTTTTTATTGACACGCTTATTTAATTTTTCTCAGGATTTCAAAAATTAATGAATTACTGTAAATCAATTTTTTGTCATATAACATGTTATTGATTTTTAAACCTCATTTTAAGATTTTTTATTTTTTATTAAAACAATTGCATTATAATGAAACATACTAATGTATTGGAAACACGGTGGTGATTCAAACTATTTTACCACTGAGAACAAACATTCTAAAATAAAAGATCAGTGTTTTATATTATCAAATTCGGCTCATTCGCCACTTTTACATACTGTATAATTTTGGAAAATTCTTTTAGATAATTAATGTCCAATTACTGTATTGTGTTAATACGTTAAATAAACAAACAAATAGTAATATATTTGTTCTTAGCAAATAAATTTTTAAAACGAACTTTTAAACTATTTAATATAATAGAGTTAAGAGGAATTTTAAATATATAGGAACAGTTTTTATAAGTTTAAATATTTTTATTATAAAAAATACATTAAAAAGTTATAAGTATCGAAAATCTTACAATAGTACATAGTTTATCATAAATATTAATGCATAAGTATTAATTATTCTAATAGAATATTTTTAGTAGAAACATTCCAACTTAGTCATTAACAGTATGCTAGTGAAACAATAGCACGGAAGATAAAATATAGAAAAAAATAAAAACAAAAAAAATTTACAATGAAAATATTTATAAATTTTATTGTGTCTGTTTTTTGAGTTGTTCGTCTCTTTCTTTTTCTAATTTCAATAAGTTCTTTTTGTATTCTCCGGTTGGGTCATATTTGGCGGATAAGCGTTCAAAGTCTGCGCTACGATTACTCATCATGAATTTCAATACTTTTTCAGACGTGTCTTTTTGAACTTTGGTACACTTAATACAGTTTGTCTTTAATGCGTCTGGCAAGTATTCTGTAAATAATATATTATGCAAGAATAACTAATAAATTAGTACTTAATCCAATGCAATAAAAATGTGTTTAGATCATTATTCATTGAATTCCTAATTAATAGGTGGAATAAAAACATATTGTCCCGAGAACAGTCAATCAAATAAGTAAATTAAAAAAATGTATATTACAACATAGAAGGTGAAAGTATTATCTAACATCACATACAATCCATACAAGGTGTTTGCATATTAAATCCTTATAAGTAAAAGTGAAAATTATTAATTCTTCGCCCGTATAATCGATAACATAAACAAAACAAATATAATTATCATGCTCTACATTATGTTCTAAGGATTACGTATTTTGTTTATTTTCACGCGTTTTTTGCATACATACGATTATGTCTTGCCTAGGGTTGTTCGATCGATATTACTATTGACTCTCTAAATAACTTAATAGAATTCTTATCATTACTACCTGATGATTACTTACTTATCAATTCTCGTCCTTCGTTGGTGCATGGTCCTTCTTCCATCAAGCACTTGATATAGCTTGTAAGAATACGACCGTTGTTTAATACTTTATCTACGTCGAAATTGTCATATTTATTAGTGTAAGTAGCCGGGGCTTGCCCTGGTTTCTCTGCTTGTTGTCCAGCATCTTGAGGGTTTGGCATAGCCGAGCAGATGGCCAGGCTCATTACAACAATGGCGCACAAACTTAAGCTAGCCATTATTAATAAGCGAACAATAAATATTAAAAAATAAGGAGTCAACGATAAGTTGATCTAAGTACAAGGTACGAGACGGCAAGTCGAAAAGAGCGTAGTCAGCGGTTATGTAGCCCATCCTGATCATTTTCGCCGCTTTATATACTATTTCTCTTGAGCCTGTTGTCAATAGTAGAAAAATATAATATAATAAAAACTATTCAACACGGGTGGGAGACCAAGACAAACTCGGCGTAGCTGACTGGTTTTTGCAGAGGCTATAGTACTGAATAATTATTACTACACTACATGCTACACAATTATACGCATAATAAAAAACGTCAGTCCAAACTTATTAATTATTCTCAACAAATAATTTAAATCGAATTGCCATTTTTCATGACGTTTAATTTAATTTATTTTTATCAAACCTTTTTATTGCTTTTTTATTGATTTGATGAATTGACTTTGAAAAAAATACATGAGGTTTGCAATTTACGAAATAGAAAACAGCCAATAAATATGATATTATTTTAATACAAGGTTGGTCCAACCTTATATAAAATGATAATACCACCTCTAGTTTTATTAAATCAAAACTTTTGTTAAGCTTGTTCGGCTCTTACATCTCATTGATTCATAATTTTTAACAATTAAATATTAACAAATTAGACATTAGGATGAGTAGGATAAATTAAACGGAAATCAATATAAATTCATTATTACATTAGAATATTCACCAGATATCATTTAAGATTGAAAAATGACATTTTAGCTTCGATGCAAAGCTGAGAAAGTATTAATTTTACCGTGATGTGTTTTTTTTTGTGTCTGTTGCCACTTTTTTTAGCTCTCACTGGACCGATTTTTTTCAACAATACGTCAAAAGATTACAAATCGTATCTAGTCAAAGACATTACCCTTAAAAATTGAAAAAAACTCCTTCGTTCCCCGTAAATGGGGGAAATCTCTAAAAAAATTACAAATTAAAAAATTGCTAATTTCCGACATATTTTCATTTTTTTTTACTTTTAATTGTTATAACTATTTTAAAAATGTATGGATCAATATCATTTTTTTTAAATAGATATATAAAGTATTTACCTATCATTTGGTAAATTTTTATTTGTAAATCTGATCCTTTACTTGCCCACGAGGGGGATTTAAAATGACAAATTTTCCACCAAAAAATAATTTTTCCAACTTAACTTTTGAAAGTGTTCCGGATACTCTTTATTATATTTATATAATTAATATATATATATATATATATATATATTATTAGATATATTTATTATATTTATATAATAAATATATATATATATTTGGATATATTTATAAACTTTTATAAATATACTTTAAATTAAAGTTAATTTAATATACTTTATTATGAAAAAAAATTTTTTCAGTCTTTATTTTGTCTTCACGGTGAAAATGGATACCGAATGTTATTTTTATGTTAAAATTCTCGATTTTATATTTTACATATTTTATTTTATATTTCTATAAATTTTTGAAAAATGTATAGATCAATACAATTTTTTATGATAAATACTATAAATATCTCTTTCATTCAACATACTTTACATTTCCCTTTATACGGGGGTGTTTCAAATTTAAAAATGCATTTTGAAAGAAGAAATTTTTCAACTTATTTTTTATTGTAATATATTTATTGATTATTCATACGTAACCTAATAAACAAACATAAATATTTGTTATACTAATTAGAAGGATTTTTTTATTATTAGGCCACAAGTGAAACTCTGCTTGCAGATTTGAAATCGGCGAAAAAATATGTTTAGAAAAATATATTTATTTTGGATGAAAATTCCTAGTAGACTAGTAAATTTATTTATAAAAAACCAATCATTTTTTTTTTAAGTATTGCATTAATACCTTCAATATACGTTATAATATACGTCAATACATACGTTTGCCATAAAAGTAATGACTATTTTATAATAAAATTGTAAAGATTACAATACTAAATTATTAAAAATCAATTTTATACTATATTTAATTGCTATAATAAATATTTATTAATTTATTACACTTATAAATCATAAAACTTGTAATCAGGATAAAAATAAGGAAATAGGAGATCATATTTTTTTTGAAATAATCCACCAATTTTTGAAAATTAAACACTATCTACAGATTTTCACTGAAGCGTTTTTTATAATAGCAATTTTAGTCACTGTCAGATTAAATATATACTGAACCCAACTATGCCACGTCCCTACTGTCGCTTGTNAGATTAAATATATACTGAACCCAACTATGCCACGTCCCTACTGTGCTGGGTTGGGTTTTTAAGATATATAGTTATAATTATTTAAAAATGAGGTATATCTTTCTTAGTGTAAATCAAAAATAAAAGTTGCAACTTTTCTTTAAAAAATATATTTAAAACATTTGCTATCCTATTTAAGCTAAAATGTCTACTATAAAAAATTTTTTTAGACATTTTTTTCCAGACTGATATCTATAAAAGTAATTTAGTCAGTCTCTAAAAGTCATTTGGCGCCTTAGATTATTGGGGGTATGCAATATTGTTACTATTAAATTTACACATTACAAATTTCATAAAATATTAATGACCTTAAATAAATTAGTTTAAAATATTCTTAATATTTTAAATAATATTTAAACAATTCATTTTCTTAATATAAGTACTTACAGCTTATAAAATTCTCGATAAAAATGTAATTAATCAATGCCATCTCAAAATAATAATTCCTTAAAAAATCATTTTTTTAAGCTGGTTCATACAGTGATTTGGTCACTGCAATTCTAATAAAAAAGCTTTTAAGTGACGTTAAAATCATTTAATTAATATTTTATGAGTTATTTAAATTTCCTCTATTATATACTATCGTTTCTACCACATAAAAATTAAGAAAAACCCTATGCGCATTAACATAACCAAATAAAAATCACTAATACCTTCAAATTCATGCCTTTTGATGCATTTCTAATTCTGTAATATTTGCTGAATTCGGGGCCTTGCAGTTATGTTATTTTTTAATGCCTATATTATCGTGAGATAATTCTAGAAATATTTTTCGGAAGGTTGTATACCAAATCAACATTTTTTCAAGTAGGAATTTTTTTTTTTTAATGCATATTTTTTATTACTGTTCTCCAATAAGAAAAAATTTTTAATTTTTATATTATATTATATAAAGGATATTTTAATTTTAAAATATCCGTTTTTAGATTTTTTTTACAAAAAATGTTAATAGATCAATGACTACTTTAAAAAGAATACTCATTAAGTTAAAAGCATTTTAATACATAGAGCGGGTGTTCAGCGTGGATGGAGTATGCATTATGAATATACATTAGTACAACCTGTATACTTGAGAATTTTTTGAAAAAAATGCATGGATGCATTTAAAAAACTATGGATTGCTTCTAAAGAATTTAATGACGAATAAGATAATGATCAAATTTATCTCAATGATTTTGTTGATTTGTTTGATAATATTTCTGAATTTTATGACTATGACATTGATGACGCTATCAAGTGTGTAGAAATTTACTAGAACAATCCTAAATCAGTGGTGTAAACTTGGTGGGCTAAAGGGACTATAACCCTAGTAAGAGTGTATGATTAACAAACAAAAATTCTTTAGTCCCCCCAAGCAATTATCTTGGTTATCATGTTGTATTAGATGACAATGAAATTATTTCTTCGTTGCAAAATTAAAGTGAAGATCAGTATAGTAATGACAGATACTGTTAGTGAGTCTAAAGAACGTTAGTGAGTTTAAAGAAAGCACAGGAAAGGAAGACAGTAGGAAAAGATCAGCGCTCGACAGACAAAGTCAACGATGATCTAAATGAGTGCCCACAGGGACTAACAATAGCAAATAGCCTGGATAGAGATAGATGGAAGAATGTAGTAGAGGCAGCGAACGTCATTCAAGGATCGTAAAAGCTCAAGAAGAATTATTACTAGGATATGATAGTTAATGATCTAAAATGTCTTAAAATATTATACAGATAAATTCATTGATAAATATTTTGAGCTACATTATCATGATCTAAAAGACTATTTAATTCTATTGTAATTTAAAACCAAACCATTCTTAAAAATACTTTTGTTATGATGATCAAATTTTTTAGTAATGTGATCACCAAAAATGGCACGAATAAACCAGTATTTCGGAATATAATAAAATAATTTAAAAAAACAAGTTAAAGCTTGTTGATAATGAATAACAAATTTTACATTACACATTGATTCTGCATAATTGTTTAGTCAATATGATTGTTTTACATTTTTAAATAGTATATATATTTTTCTCAGAATTTAAATGTTGAAGGCAATAGTATTTTAAATATCATAGTTTCTCTCGGTAAGATACTTTTTGTAAAAATCTATAGCTTTGTTGTCTACAAAGACATAACCTCGTTGGTCGGTTGTAGTTAAACCCGAAGGTCATTCAAACGATGTCTGAAATCAATTAACAATTAATTTTTTATCGTTATTTCTAGATATTGTTTAATCAACATAAAAACTTTAGATTGTTATTTTAAGAAAATCTTTTATAGGCCAATTCGTAAATGTGTTTTGAAACATTCAAGTCTCACAAAAGTATTATATTTATATAATTCATTTTTGAGTGACTTAATATATTCCTGAACGTATAGTATATTTGATTTATGTAACCTTATTTACAGATACATAAACAAAGTGAATTGTTTGATTTATTTATCATAACGTAATAACTATTTACTTCTAATACAGTCTATTAATTTATAGGTGCGTCCTCATAGAGATTTCAGTATATTCTTATCCAAGTCATGGACAAAATGTATAAATAGTAAACAATTGCTTTCTATTTTTATTTCTCTAACGTATTTTAAATTAAAGTATTCCAGAGTAAATAATATAATTTATTTTCTCGTCTTATTTCAGTTCAGGGACTTTGATACGAACTAGTATAAAAAAAAGATAGACTTAATACGTAAAAAAGAACTATTCGAATTTAAAGAACACACAGTTAGTGGCTTATTTAAGGAGCCAAGGTAAAGTGACAGGTGCCTCCGGAAGTAAATATTAAGAAGATTACATTAATGTATGACGATTTCGCATAAAAATCTTTCAATATAAATAAACTAAAATCTAAAAATTAGAATATATTAAGGGGTTATCATTATAATTTTGATAACAATTATCTTGAATTCCTTATCACTTACAAATTGTTATTGTAGAGTACAAGTGTTTTTAAATTCTCCTAAATATTTGCAAATAAAAAAATGGGTACTTGACACTTGTTAATATATTAAATTCACACACGTATGTGAATGAAATATGCTAGTAATATTACTGAATCCAATTTAAAAACTATATATAATCGCTAAATAATGTTATTTACTAATGGATCAACCAAGTGAAATAAGTAAAAAATATGAGTTGTTGAATATGTCAGAATCAGAAAGTAGTTCTTCAGTTTACATTCCATCTCCTAAGATGTTCAATTTACCAAGAAAGAAAAAATACAGAAAGTAATCAAACAAGCTTAAAAACTTAATGTACAATTTTTAACTGAAATTAATTTACTGTTACAGACACCATCGGGATAAATTAGTCGAGCATGTGAATTTTGATACATGCCACCTTCAAACCCGCACTATTTGTGTATTTTTTGTTCTATCTGCATTAATTGTCTGGTTACTAGCAATGAGTTGGTATATTAGTGCTTTACAGAATGAACTTGATAAGTTTAATCATACAATAGTTACAAGTAATTAATAACAATTACTATTATTTTTATTAATATATTTCATTTAATACTTAAAACCCAACTAAATTCTATTTAAATGTATTATGTAGTACTACTGTAAATTAATAAAAAATGTTCTGCTTTGTATAAATTTATAAAATTAGAATTAATACTAAACATTTTGCTGAATTTTTAGTAAAAACATCTACTATGACTAGAAAGACTAAATATAATAGTCAAGTATAAATTTTATATTAATAAAGATAACATTAATCTATAATTTTATGTTTAATCTATTTTATAAAAAAATTTTATTGAATGTGATTATGAATGTATTTTTTTTTTTAAATGTAATTTTGTATGCGTATATATTTAAATTTGAATTCAATTAATAAGATTGCAAATGTTCAAGTTGTTTAAATTAATCTTCCAAATCATAGTTATAATTATAAAGTTAGATGGATTATTAAAACACTTTGCACCATATCCTATTTTCTCACTGTTATATAATGATAAAAAAATGTTGACCTAATTAGTATTCATCTATTAATTATTTCTTGTGTCTTATATTTGAATTTAAAATAATGAAATCTTGAAAAACACATTAATTAATGTTCTTAATATTTATTGGATTTTAAAAGTCAGTAAAATTCAACTTGTATTTGTAATAAAGTTATAGTAAATATAAGTAAATTTTATTGAAATATGATAATCATAGGTTAATTAGGTACTGAGATTGATGCAAATTCAAATTTTTTACGAAATGAAGTGACATTAAGGAAAAATTTAAATAAAGGTAAAAAATACATTTTCTTATTAAATTCAAAACTAATAATAATTTAGATTTGAAATTACCTTAATGTAGATATTGTGGGCAGCACAAGTTTGGATATAATATTTTGTGAGTTGTCTTATTGTCTAGGTTATTTATATACAGATATTATGATATTAAAAATTCTATCCAAAACTTTTAACAATGAATTAGTTTTAAAAACTAATTATTGTTGCTGATAAATACAGAAAAATCTATAAAATGCAATACAAATTTAAAGCAAAAAGGGAAATTTTCGTTTTCCTAAATAATCACATTCAATTTTAATTTTATAACGTTAATTACGAAACATCATGTCAATATGTTTAAATAATTTAATCACAGACCTTTTTTGATTAATGTTCTAACCTTGGGGGAATTTATATAATATTATTTTATGACATCTTTAGTTGAAAAAACGTACCTTTAACAAAATTTACTCTGATCTATGGAGAATATGACATTCAATTTTTTTTTAATGTAATGTAATTAACATATAAAATTTATTGATGAAATCATTATTATCAGTGTATATTTTATTTAATATTTTCGATCTTGATATGCAAAGAAATATACTATCTGCCGTATGCTCCACAGCACGACATAAAACACATGCACACAACTACATATCTTATGTTAATAACTTATTTAATATCAATTTGTAATGTGATTTATGTAATTCATGACCAGCGACTTGTTAGAATAATGTATTTTATGTGGCATTAAATTTAACAAATTTTACAACGAACTTCTTTAGTATTGAATGTGAATTGATCTCTGTTTTTATTTTTTATGATACTGTTAACGTATAGTACTAAACTAAGTGCGCCATCGTATCTGTATTGATTAGACTTTCGTAATGCTCCTGCGTCGACCGTCCCTTAACAGTGTACGTGTGATGTGAACCTAGCCTAACTTTTAGCCTTGAGAAAATATTTGATATATTATTTAGCGTGAATACAATTTTAGAACAAGCTATTGTTATCTATTGTGTAAATGTACTCAATTTATGGAATAAATAAATTAATATGTTTATAATAAATATATCGTACTAATGAGCAGTGACGTGTGTCGAAGATCTGCCATTGGCGGCAAAAAAATGAGAAAACGTAAAGAATTAGATGCTCTTACTGGCACAATCATTGGAAACAACAACAAAAGTCGCAGGCTAATGTATTCTTCCGAGTCTGATTCTTGTTCGTCTTCGAGAGCTCCTACGCCTATAAAATTACGTCGACAAATAACTCGAAGGCGAAAATCTAGTTTCATTTCAAATACTTGGTGCAGCGCCTTCCGGATGTCCCTTACATTTGGTTGCATTCTTTGGGTTATGTTCGTAACTTACACATTTCTTGACATTCGTAAAATCCAACTCCACTTACAATCCCAATTAGATGAAGGTCTGGAAAATAATTAGTTAATAAAAATTAATAAAAGTTTACAAAAATTATATTTATAAAATAATTTACAATTTTTGTGGCTTAATTTTATTTTATTCCGTAATTGTTTATAGTGGCTGCTGGAAATCTAGGTGTTCCTGATGATTTACAAAAATGTCATGCAATGTCCAAACAACTTCAACAAAATCAAACTGTCATTAGACAGCATGTAATAGAATTCAAAGACAAAATGGATAATTTAACTCAACGGGTATATATTACTCACTCTTATAAATATATATTATTTTTGGTAGCGTTTTGATTTTTAGTAGGTATTACCTGAGGAAAATAGAAGCCTAATATAGTGGCTATCAACTAAGTATATACCATAAATTAGTGATTGGAATCGTAGAACACTTATTATAAAATATGACCTTTTCTTTTTTCGAAAATATGAGTTATTTTATTATGAGGGAACATCTTTTAATGATTTCAACTTAATATTAATTTTTCGTTTGGGTATTGAATACCTGTTTCTTAAAATATGACCAGAAAACTCCATAACTTTATATACCATTTATTTTAATTTTTAATAATTGGTTAAAATTTAGATTGAAAAATTGCAAGATGGTCTTTCTTCAGTTGAAGGTCGTATTCCAACTATTCCTTTGACCTCGCCAGGAGCCATGAGAGATTTATCAAAAACAGTTGCTAGTTTTGGAAGTGAAATTAAAGACATCAGTAATAACGTCAACTCACTTAAAGAGTCATCTGTATTAATGCAGTCAAATTATAATAAATTGCAATTTAACATCACAGCAATAAATGTATGACCAATGATATGTAATTATTTTTATAAATATTTATTAATTTTGTTTTTAATGAAATTAGAATACACTGTCCAATTTAAGTGGTGTGAAGAATGATGAATCTTTTGTAAATAATATGTCAGAGAAATTTACATCTCAACTAAATAACTTAAGTGTAAACTTAACTTCAGTCAATAGTACACTTACAAGTAAATTTGATTGGGTATCAGGAGATCAAAAATCTAATAGAGTAATAAGAAACATTTTCTATTTGTAAAACAGTTTATATTAAAAAAAAAAAAATTATAGGTTGAAATAGAAAAATTAAAAGAAAATAGTCAAAGATTAATATCCCAAGTAAAAACTATTGAAAGCGAATGTCAAGCTTCAAAAGACAAAATTAACAAATTATCAAGTGATGTTGATTCAAAGGTAATATTTATTTTTCTTCATTTTATTCTTTTAATGACTTTATAACAAATCAATAAAATAAACAAGATAGATTAAATCTAGCCATAATTTATTTCACTGCTATAATATTAACTCGGCATTATCATCTTAAACCCTAATATTCTATCCCATTTGGTCTTCCATAATAGCTACTTTAATCAGAAAGTCAGCTGTTCTCCTGCAATGAAATAAGTCTAACTTTGGATATTTCTTATTATTATTATATTATAATTGAATATTATTATATTCAATTTTTGAAATGAGCTCTTTAGCTCTTTTCTATTCTCATTGTGCAAACCAAAGGTTGATAATTTTTGACATTTATTATTCAAGCTTAAAATGTTTTGTTTTTTACAAATTTTCTTAAAGTTTATGTTTTGGAGCCATATAAATAGTTGTAATGTAAGTGAAGTTAGATCTGAAAAATATTCTTACAAAACATACTTTTATGCCAAATTACCATTAATTTTCTAATATTATCTTATAAATCTTTATCTTTTGATATTATTCATTTTATAGGTTTAAAATATGATAATCTTTATATTATGACACCATATAATTTTGTAAATTAATTTTGTTAGTATTTTTTGCTTCTTTATCTAATTATTAAAGTACTTATTACATAATTAAATCTAGTCATTTTATGAAAATTTTTAAATATTTTCTAGCTGTCATATTTAAAAATTCAAATTGAAAATATTACTGAAAATGTTACCAATTTACATGTTATGTCAAAACCAGAAAATATTTCTAAAAATTCTAGTCAATTAAAAGGTAATTATAGATTATTTTTATCTTTATAAGTACACATTGTTTGTTAATAATGAAAATTATATTATTTTATTTATTTAAAAATCTTGAATATCATTGGTATGACAACAATATTTTTATTTATTGAATTTAATTTTAAATAAAATTCTAAAAAATTCTATTTATAACTCTTAAAATATTTAGTGTTGTGTTATTTTTCTAGACAGTAATTTAATTGTTTAATCTATTCAAATACTTAATTTAACTTGACTTAAGTCAAATACTTATATTACTAAAGTAGTAATTTAACATTTTTTTAATATTGTTTTTTTTAATTGGAAAACTTTTTAAATTACAGGCACAAACATCAATTCAAGTTTGTCCAAACCATAAAGTATTTTAAAATTCTATTTATCCTATGTATTTATTTTAATGAATCTAGCAGGGAATTCCTGTATGTTATGGTGTATAGATTAATTGACTATCTGATACATAATACACTGTGTTGAGCAATAGATTAGCAATTAAGCTTTTATTAATATTTCACTGGAAAACTAAAAAATATATGTTAAATATCATACTTATTTCTAAGTGAAAATTATTTATATTTGTAATTTAATTATTGATAAATATCTATTTTTACTTTGTTTATAATGTTTGAAGTTATATTATAACAAACCAATGAATGTGATGATATGAAAAATTATGTTAAATACTTGTTATTAATAATACATTAATATTTAATATTAAACACAGTCTTAGTAGTTTATATTTTAAAAGACTTAACCTTTTGATAAAAACTAAAATATTCAGAAATTTTATGATAATCAAAAGAACAACAATAAATTAAACTAATCTAATTAACTATGTAACAAAATTTAACAATCTAAAAATGTATAATCAATAAAATCGATTTATAACAGATATAATTTTTTTTTAAAGTGATTTTTGAAGAGAAGAAAATTCAATTTTCATGGCCGACCCCAAGTAGTTGAGATTAAGGTGTGGAAGAAGAAAAAAAATCTAATTTTTAATATGGTCTATTTTTTATTTTTTCTTTGATTAATTATTAAAAGTTATTTTTGAAAAACCTCAAAAAATTTATCTATCTTGAAGAGAAATTTGTTGTTAGGTTTTTTTTATTGGATATAAAATGTTTTATTAGTTTTGGTTCACCTAAAAGAAAAGAAATTAAATAGTTATTAAACTTTTTATGATTTCTGAAAGTGTTATTTGTGATACTCTTGAACTTTCTTTTGTTTTTGAAGTAACTTAAATTATTTTATCAATCATTATTCAAAGTTATCTTAACAATTATAAATTAATTACTTTAAGTAACGTCTAGTACAAATACTATTTCAACTAGAAGAATCTCTTACACTGGAATAGCCTGAAATGTGAAACAAATAATTTTATAATGATTTATATTTAAAGAATTATTATTTTAAATGGAGTAGTAAAAATATTTATTATTAAAGAACTCCCTCCATGCACTATTAAGTCAAAGATTAGATGTGGCATCAATTGAGTAAATTAATTTCTGTACAGTTATTTCTAAAAAAAATTATAGATTAAAATGTATTAAAGCTCTAAAACACTTATTTTCAATCCACTTTTTTTGAATAAATAAATATTCTTCTAGATAACTTATAAATTAATTTTTAATCTACAGTAAACTTTTACATTTTGTTTTAATAATGCTTTATTTCGAGTTAATTTATAAAAACCTTCATGTTAAATGTTATTATGTTAAGATAACAATGTTTCATTGAACTGTGGAGTATACATATTAGTTTAACTATTCAATTTTAAACAACACGTTTTTCAATTTAAAATATAAATACATGAAAATAATGGTTAATACTTTATAAAAAATATTGTGGCGATAGCATCTCTACTTAACATTTTTATATGAGAATTTGTTTTGTTAGTTTGATAATATATTTCTTCAAAATGAGGAAAATGAAGATAAAAAGAAGTTTTAAAATCGTTTTCAAAAAAGCCACATACTTTCAGCCTTAAAGAGTAATGTTCATTATTAGGAAACATAAGTATAATAGTAGTCATTCATAAATTGAATGATTATTATGAGTTTAGTGGTGAGAGTACCTATACAATGTAATATCTAGCTTTTTACTTGGTGATTTCAGAAAAAATTTAAAAGTATTCGAGATTTTGGATGGCATATGTAAAATTTCTGACATAAAAATACCATAAATTAATAATCTTTTTATTATTATTCTTCTTCGCCTTCTCAACTATTTGGGGTCGGCCACCCTTATTCTAAACTTCCACTTAACACGATCTCCTACATCATCTACGCTCACATCAGCTGTCCTCATATCGCATTCAATTATATCCCTCCATTCCTTTTTTGGTCTTCCTCTACCTCTTCTTCCTTCAACATTCATTTCTATAACTGTTCTTACAGCTTCCAATTCATCTTTCCTCATAACATGACCAAACCATCTAAGTTTATTTTCTTTCAACTTATCTACGTTTGACGCTACACCTATACTCTCTCTTAAATGCTCGTTCCTTGTCCTATCTTCTCTAGTCACTCCACTCATCCATCTAAGCATTCTCATCTCTGCTACACTCATTTTCTGCTCTAATTTCTTCTATAAATCGCCAAACACTCTGAACCATACATCATAGCTGGCCTCACTAAGGTCTTGTAGAATTTACCTTTCAGCCTAATTGGAATTCTTTTATCGCAAAGACGCCAGACTTCAAACACCACCATAAATTATTAAATTATAATATTCAGGGCTCGTGAGTTCATAAATTTATAACTTCTGATTGAACCATCTTAAAAATTTATGTAGTGCAAAACTCATAACTATGTAAAATAAAAACAAAAAAAATTGTCTGTAGTGAGGTATAACCCTAACTAACCCCTAGTGTCCTCTATGGATATAAAACTGAAAAATAGTGCTCAGTTTTGAATTTTTTTAGAAATATTTTTATTTGAACATAATCGCGTTCTGATTTACTCAAACAAAATGTATAAATACCTACATTAATGAGCCCTGATAATAATATATTTAACAATTTTAATCTTACTCTAGTTAATTTAGTATAAATTTTTTTAAGGGAGAGCACCTTTGCCACGAACTGATGATGCTCCGACATTTACATACTTCGACATTTGACAAAGTAGTAATTGTTACGAACACCTGGTACTCCGACCATCTGATTCATAGGTTACCAAAATTATGACGGATTTTACTCAGACATTAAATTAAAAAAATGAGATAGTAAAAACTCCGACATTATCGATAGTTTGATTATGCATCGAAAGTTATATTATATTTCGATTGCATTGTTAGTAATAGGGCGCATTGATCGTATATGTTGCAACGTCAGGGTCACGTGGCTACAGAAACACTACATTATTAAATTAATTGTATTATTATTAATAATATTGTAAAATTTTAATTAAAATGTTCTATTCAATTAGCATTTATTTGCTACTATAGTTATTATACAATAATATACATTTTGCTTATTATTTTCTGGTACAATTTCTCACATTTGACATATGTTATTAATACTCGAATGATAATAGTCATTCATTAAGTAACATAAAATTAATAGTGTTTAATACAAATGTACATTTTTGAAAAAGTTTTCTCTATTGTTAGAATATATATTTATCTTTGAGAATTTTATTTTTTAATTATCCAATAATTACAAAATATTTTCATCAAATCAAAAAACTGTTAGTTAACTGTTTTTTCAGTCGATCCACAAAATTTTATCTAACAGTAACTTATTTTTTAGAATTAGTAAGTAAAGAATTAGTAAGTTTTGGTTATATATAAGTAGAATTAATTTTTTCTTATTTAAAAATTCTGTGTGTCATCTAAAATTAAATTATATATTAACTCATCGTTAAAAAAATTTAATTTTGTGACATGAGTTTTATAATCAATTTTAAATTATAAGTAAAACCATTATAATCTCCAGTGGTGCTCAAAAAAAAGTTAAAAATATTAAGGAGTAAAAAATTATTTATTTAAAGTTCTTTTTGTTTAAAATCTAATATACATTTATTGAAATCAGTTTAATATTTCCTTGAAAAAAATATCTGAATAGCCTTTCCTTTTTTTAATAATAATTAAATTTGTTGGACAATTTTCTCAGTGGTCCAGTGAGAAAAAAAATCTTAAATTTAATGAGGGCCTTCTGAGCCAGGCCGACACTGCGAAAAGATGATTATTTTGCCAATGTTTTCATCTCGTTAGCTTAACGCGTATCCTGCAAATACAAATGTATTGTTTTATAAATACAAAATGAAGTTTTTTTAAAAATTTGAATTAATTTTATATGTACTTTTTAGAATATGAAAGCATATTCCAAAAAAAATAAAAATTAATTTTCAAAATAAAATCACGTAATGTAATGTATTATGTTTTGTAAAAATGTAATTATATATATATATATGTCTTATAAAAAAAGTTGTACAGTTTCAATATTACATTATTATATTTGATTTCCATTTAATGAGAAAAAATGAATAATTGTTTGATTATCAATCATGATTATAAATTAAAATATTTCACTCTATACGTGTATTTGACAAAACTTCAAATAATCATAATGCAAATGAAAAAAAATTGAACCATTATTTAATGAATTGACTGCATATTTTTAATCGAGTTAGTTAAGTTTAAAACCAATTTACTTAGCAGAAGATTTTTGTAAGTTTATGATAAATCATAAACTATTGTCCACTGTTAACTTATAACTGCCTTGTGTTTACTTAATTTGACTAGAGCGTAGGAGTATTGCAACAAAATATTTGGGAACTCTAATTACATAATTTTTTACCTAATTTAAAAAAATATTTCTATACAACAAGAAATACAAATTAATTCATTTTCGGTATAGTCTATGGCAGAATTTTAGGAGACAAAGCCCCCTCAAGTCTCTCCAGATTGCGGTCAAATCCAAACTGGACTGAATTAATTTCGTTACCCACCTTTGAACAATGAAATAATATTAAATCATATTTTTGTTTGATTTGTAATGACAGTTTTAGAGAATGGGATACCGAATATCTTTATAAACGCATCTGTTTAATAACGAATACTATCATCATAAAAACGTACCTCTATATTTTTTAACTAAACTAATTGAATGTTATAATATTAATGTGCTTACAATGTTATAATAAGCACTAATAAGGAGAGGTAAAAAAGATTTTACGTCTGAAAATTGGAATCGCTCTTCTTTCCCCTCCAAAAAAAAATTTAAGGGCTCACACCAGTTATGTTACCTTTATGTACCTATTTTATCAAAAGTCGAATACATTTCGGGGATTTTTATTGTAATAATTATTCGTTAATTGACAGTAATCAATTATAACGCTATTTTATTATATCAATTAATATTTATTAATTAGCGATAAGGGGTATATTTTTCCATCAGATAATATATTGCTACGATATTCATCTACTACGAAATTTGATAATTTTTTAATCGATTTCGCGAATAATCGATATTCGGAGCAATCAATTAATAGTCCTATTCGGAGTATTCGTCGTCGTAGTAACATCCAAATTTTTGTAACCAGGTATTCGTAGTAATTGTTGTCGGAGTAAATGTATTCGGAGGATTTTTTTACAGTGTCGGAGTAAATGAATGTCGGGGCATCATCAGTTCGTGGCAATCTCCGGAACCCTTTTTTTAAGTTAGATCGAAAAAAAAAGTAATATATTTATCTAGTATATTTTTATCACAACGGTGTAATTTAGATATTTGAAGTTATCACAAAATAATAACTATTATCACTTTTAATAATAAATGAAATATAGTTAAAGCAACATAATAGTTATTCATTTCTAAATTTATGTAGTTCAAGTCATTTAGGTTTACTCTTAACTATAATTTTTGGCGATTTATATGTTTTAATTTTTAAGTACTTTTATAAGTAATTAAATTTATTTTTCAATTTTTTGTTATTTTTAGGAAATGTTTAAAACAATTATTGCTAAAAATTTGTCTTACTGTAAAAAGTTATTTTTTTATAATAGACTCTTTAAAGATGGTATTCCATGTTCATTAACATTGAAATTGTACTCTTCAATTCCTAAAACAACGTGCAATATCGGTATGTAAAATCTTTAAATATATTTTAATAGTTAAAAGTATGTTACTGTTAAAATATTGAATAAATGAACACCATAGAAATTTCATATATATATAAATATTAGTTTTTTGGTATAGAACCTTTTTAATCCTTCTTCGCTATTTTTTTAATTTTCTATTGTGCTAAAAGTTATTTTTGATCAGGTACAATTGGACATGTAGATCATGGAAAAACTACTTTGACTGCTGCAATTACTAAAGTATTAGAAAAAGATGGTTTAACTAAATTTATAAATTATGATCAAATTGATAAAGCTCCTGAAGAAAAAGCTAGAGGTATAACTATTAATATAGCACATGTAGGGTATGAAACAAAAAAACGTAAATATGCTCATGTGGATTGTCCGGGACATGCTGATTTTGTCAAAAATATGATAGTTGGAGCATCTCAAATGGATGGGGCTATTCTTGTGGTTGCAGCTACAGATGGCTCAATGCCTCAAACACGTGAACATTTGTTATTAATTAAACAAGTAATAACAACAATGTGTATATTACTACTTTAAATAGCCATTAATGTTTTGTTATTCTTACAATTTCACTATTTTTAATAGGTTGGTGTTAAACATATTATTGTCTACATTAACAAAGCAGATATTACAGATAAAGAAGTTATTGAACTTGTAGAGCTAGAAATTAGGGAATTATTAACAGATTTTGGTTTTGAAGGTGATAAGATTCCATGTATCATTGGATCTGCTTATCTTGCTTTACAAGGGGATCAATCTGAATTAGGAGAGATATCAATTAGGAAACTTATGGATGCTGTTGATAATTTTATTCCTACACCTCAACGTGATTTTACATCTCCATTTTTATTACCAATTGACAATGCTTTGTTAGTACCTGGTCGTGGCGCAGTTGTCATTGGTACTGTAAAACGTGGTACTCTAAAGAAAAATGATAAAATTGATTTGTTAGGATTTGATGAAATAATGTCTACATCAATTAGTGATATTCATATATTTAAGCAATCTGTACCTTCTGCTAAGGCTGGAGATAATGTAGGATTGCTGGTAAGAGGTGTCAAACCTAAAAATATTCGTAAAGGTATGATTGTATGTCCTAATAATAGTTTGACAATAAATAATCACTTCAAAGCCACAATATACTTTCTTCAACGGGGAGAAGGTGGACGATCAAAGCCAGTTACTTCAAAATACCAACAACAATTATTTAGCCATACTTGGAATATTACTAGCAGGTACTTATTGTTTTACTTATTTAAATCATTTTTTTTTTTTTTAATTGTAGCTTACATATAATTTTTAGAATTGACTTAGATCCATCAATTCCAATGATTATGCCTGGAGAACATGCTGAAGTTCGATTAACATTGTTAAACAAAATGGTTATGGATATAGGTCAAACATTTACAATAAGAGAAAATGGAAAAACAGTAGCTACTGGAATCATAAGTCAAAAATTATCTAATGTTAATATACCTAAAGGAAATCTTGGAAGATTAGTTATTAATTATGAAAACACGACATGTCCTGGTTCTACACAATAAATCTAATATAAATACATTAAACTTTTGCATTAATTTTATTTAACAGTTATAATCACAATGGCACAGTGTATAAAATGAAACTAAATAAAATAATATAAAAACTCATATAATTAACATAAACACAACATTATTTACAACATTCATATAAAATGGGTTTGTAGTTTAAGAAAGTATTATTATATATTAATTAGAAAACAACTGTTTGATTGCATTAACATTTACATATAGATATTTATTTACAACTAAACCCAATAAATAACTTATTATCATTATTTTATTTTTATAATAATACAAACAAAAAATGTTAGGTGTATTTTAAATCACATGGCGAATGCCTAATGTCACAGTTCCATTTACTAATCTCTTCATTAAGTTCCAAGCTTCAGTACGGGACATACCAGTAACATCTATATCATTAACAGACATCAATTCATCACCAGCAAAAATCTGTCCACATTGTTCAGCACATCCGCCTAAAAATACAAAGTTGTTAAATTTTAATAAACTTACTAAACAATATTTTTTATGGCTCTTGTAAAGTCATTTTTTCGACTAAACTAAAACAACCTCTAACCTTTTGATTTAACGCTGGGTAAGTTATTTAATCCTATTTTTTTGCTTGATTAATTAATTATTTTTTTTTTTATTAATTAATTATTTTTTTTTTTTTACATAATTAATTGATAAATAAATTTTCAGATAAAATAAATAAATCTATAAAAGTAAAAATAATAAATATTGAAAAATTTTAAATACTTCCATCTAACAAGAAAATTATTAATTTAAAAAATAAATGAATGAAATGTAACATGGGATACTGTGATGTAAGAATTTATAAAAATAATAAAACAATCAAATGTTACCTGTGAAAATTTTTTTCACTGTAAGTGGTTGATCGCCATTCGGGGAATTTTTTCCTCCTTCTAAACTAAAACCTAAACCAGAACCATCTTTAGACAAAATTACTTTAACTAATGGTCCAAATGATCGACTGCTAGAAGTTTCTTTAAAATAAATAAACAATTATTAGTATAGGTAATAATAACTTGTAGTACTATATTGAAATAAATAATAATTATCTACCAATTTTATTTTCGTGAGAATTTGGAACTTCAGTAAGCTGAGGCAATCCGTTAGATTCAAAATTTGCGTCTGATTTACATCTGGATATAACTAATACTACTTCTGACCGTGGTGCCTATAATTTAAAACAATTTATTGCAAAATTAATAGTGAAATAAATTTTAACTTGGCAATTACTTTTAATGTGACCAGTGACTCTCGGTGCGTCATTCCTTTCATACTTTTTCCGTTTATAGATAGTATTCGATCACCTTTACGAATGCGTCCATCTCTATCGGCTGGACTCCCGGCTAATACTTTATAGACCTAAATTATACAACATTCATAACAATTAGCACTGTATAGAATTAGTTTGTTGTGTAAACTTACAGTTATCTCCTTTGTCTCGTAATCAACACCGCCGGCTAAAGTTATACCTACACTACTCGTTGCGCTATCTCGATGAAGAATGACCACCATTACTTCGACAGATTGGGTCGACGTGACAGCAGATTCCTCTAGGGTTTGATTAGCATCTTCAATGAGCTGCTGCAATTCTTGTTGGGAAATTAGACTGGTAGATGATGCCAGAGAGCTTATACTACCGAATTGTTCGGTGCTCACGTACTGCATAGAAGACTCTTCACTGGTAGTCGATTCCATTGAAGACATGCGATTGTGCGTATATTTAGACTTGACTCTTGATTGTTTATCATTGACTGAAGCTTCTAAGGCATAATAATCAGTCTTGTTATTATTGTTGCTGGGACGAACAGGATCGAACGACCACAAAAGCTCGTTTGTTTGTTGCTGAGATTGTCGGTACATAGCATTCTGCTTGGAGGGAGGAGATATAGGGGGTTCCGGTTTACCACTACTATTTCTGGCTGAGCAAAGCACGTTTTTCCGATTTATTGCTTCCACACTTTCCGCTTTTAATATGCGTTTGTTGCTCTTTTCATCCGCAGTCATTATACATCGGTTAGGCGAAGGTGAAGACGTCGGCGAGTACTGTGAAATGCTAGACCGACTAGAACTCAGCGCTGAATCTTCATCACTATCGCCCTTAAATACGGCTGCTTTGGACTTGGATAATGCGGTTATTGAATCGGTTCGTCGTGGTCGTTCGTCTTGAATTATGTTTCTCAACTCTTCCCGACTGGAATTTAAGGAAGATGACGAAGACGAGTGTTGTTCATCAACTGTAACTATAGTGGCTATTGGTTGGGATAATGTAGTTTGTATGGTTTTCACCGGGCTTACATATCGCGTTACTGTTCCCGTTATCGGTCGGTTAACATATGTCTTGGTGGGTGGACAGAGCACGGGCTTACAAGTATTAACAACACTGGTATCGACTGAGTCTACGCTTTTAATTTCCGGCAGGTCAGGTATGGTTGGATCTCGATCAGACACGTTGGCTTTTTCAGGTATAACCAATCCTCGCAGCTTAGACATACTACGCCGCCGTTGTTCGATGAGTGTGTTCAAAGACGACCGTCCCATTTCTGCATAAGTGTTCATTGTACTGAAATATTTGCTATATGGTTCTACGAGAATTTGGGTTTGTCGATGATACTGCGCGTCAGTGAAACTAATAGCGCGTGACAACGGCGCTTTGGAAGTAGCTGTTTCCACAGTTTGTGTCTGGAAATCACTTTTTTGACGTTGCAATTGCTGCTGAGGACGACTGTTAGCAGATAGATCACGGGGCAAAGTACTCCGAGCCGATACAGGTGGTGTACTTAGCGGAGACGAATCGGGTGAACCCGAAGAGTAAGCCGACGATGAGGATGAAATCGAGTCTTTTTTGTCAGCTGCGGCCTTTGATGAGAACAGCGCAATTTTGTCACGGACACTGTTGCCACAAGTTTCATCCGTGGATGATTTGAATCCATTCATCATATGTCTTTTTGACTCTTCTGTACACTCTGTCAGTTCATGGTACGAAGTCTTCATTGATTCCGATCTGCCGGTATAAAACCTTTCTGGCCCGTAGTTACAAAACGTTGAATTCAAATCCGTGGCAACGTCCATTGTGTTCTCCTTTTGAATTTCTAAAATTAAAAAAAATAATAATATTACTATACGAATGTTTTTACCATTATTATTGTTAATTATAATTGTGGTTTTATAAGCCCACGTGCTACATAATGACTAGCCACTTTTTTAACTTGTTTTTGACGCTGGAAGATCTTATGGGGTTATATAGACGAAGAGGATACCCACTTGGCATTCGACGCCTACAATCATTAGCGATAGAGTTGGGATATAAATCTGACAAATGTCTAAAAGATTTTGTGCGACTAATTATTGCTAGTCAAAATTCGTCATCATTAATTATTTTCCGTACAAAGAGTATTACAGACCTTGTAAGCATTGAATTTCCAAAAAGGACGAATGCGTTAAAACTAACTTTTGTTAGACATATAACACTGAGATAGTGAATAATGAGCAGGATTTGTTTTTTTACTAATAAAAAGCAAAGTTGCAATGAAATATTTCAAAGGATTAAGTCGGTATATTTCTAAACTTTCACCCATAATCTGTGAAAATTATAATCATTTGCAGGTATTCTAAGTTTTTGAACTAACGGATTAAAGCAATGTGCATTTTGAAGTAATTCAAACGAATTTTTCTTTCAAGGTTACTGTTTTTTAAAACAAAAACATTACGAAAAAATAATGGGATAATTGAGCAAAACTGTCGTTATATCCGATCGTGTCACACTTAAATAGAGGTGATATGTTAAACAACGTAGATCTATTTCTATAATATATATGAGTTTTGATTTGATACAATATACATTAGAAAGCAAACAAAGGTTACAATAACAAGTAACCATTAACTTGAACTTCGATTAATGGAAAAAATCTTTAGTATAGGCCCAAGAGTCAAGATAAGATGATATACGCAAATTTAAGTAAGATTAATGTTATTATTGTGCAGCGTGTCTTAATAGTTTTATTTAAGAACGTTGTAACAGCTCAAGAAAAGAACGACCTCGCGAGTACCATGGCTAACAGGTGAATAATCGCCTAATGGTCGTTGGTACAACGTTACTACTTTGACATTTTGTGAAGGTGATACAAACGATTTTGTGTAATATCATTAACATACGAGTACTACATCACAGCTTTATTACAATTGATTTAGTTTTAATTGAATAGAATTTATACTCCAATCTAAAGTCAAAGATTTCTCTAGTTAACCATTATTTACAAATTTCGCTATGTAATGCGAAAATTCTGGTAAAAAATATTACTTTAGACAAAAATTTAGATACTCATATATTTTGAATTAGCTACCCGTGAAAGTAATAATAGTAATAATGGTAATGAAAAAACTATAGAGGAGAGCACCTTTCTCCAGATCGTATTTTGAATGATCATCCGCATAAATTAAACGACAAAACTAATAAAAAAAAAAAAAGAAGCCATGAACAGGTACCACGGTCTTCATTCTAATAGAACTCGTCCGGCTGTTTCTATATTGATTCTTTTTACAATCCAATTTACTATTTTAAACATAACTTTGAAATGTATTACTTTGCATTAAGAGGTACTAATAACGTTTCTTGAACAGGAAGATACCATATTGAGTCTTAGAAGAAGTTAAATTATATAAACAAGTAAGAATCCGTTAGCACATAGAACTCATATAAACTATTTCGACTCAATGCAATTTGAAATACTCAGATGGGTCAGTTTTAGTTTATTCCATGACGATTTTCAGGATTCTTGAGATTACTACAATAAAATTTATATTAACTACTTGTCTATTTTAATATATTCCAGGTGTTGAAGTTTTACCTTGAAGAGGTGAAGATATTTTGGCCACAGCCTGAAAAATGATTTACACTTATTTTTAATACCTTAATTAATTGATGAAAATATAGAAGCCCCGCTTATTGTTATTTTGAATTTATTTATTACTTAAATTTAGGAGTCACCTTTATACATTCTAGAGAGGATTATGCTCCTCCAGGAGCATATAATATTTTTAATATTATTAGTATCCTTGTCTTCCAAGTCCCTAAATAAAGTCTTCAAATTCGATTAAAAAACTTTGTGTTTATCTTATACCACCTCGTATCCTATTAATAAAAGTAAATCTATTAGGGAGTACTAAATGTTTAAAGAATTCATGGTATTATATCATTTTAAAAAGACCTTGGACGTTTTATTCGAAAAAGAAGACGACTATGCATTTATTATTATACAGCCATAACAATAGAAATAATTAAGTTTTGTGTTAAGCTTAATAATAGTATTTCTTTTAAGTCTATTCTATCGGACTACATTTTTTGAAGTACATATAATACATTTATTTATTTAATAAGTATGTTATAATTATAACTTGAAAGTGAGTATTAATTAATACACTTAAATTAAATGTTAAATTATTGATGAAATAACGGACTCAAAAAATAATAGGCTAGTTATCTATTGTGATAAGTACGCTGATCATAAAAATTCTGAATTATATGATGATAATAAACTTAAAACAATAAAATATAATAGTGAAATGAATTATAATGTATTTTTCTATCATTTTAACTTAAGATTAGACTTACTGAATTAATTAGTAATTAGTTGGTTATTTATTTAATTTGGAAAGTATATTATTTACTGTATTCTAAGCATAAAAACAGAGACCAATAATAAATATTAGTCACTGTTAGTATTTGATTTCTTAAATTATTATTAGTTATTTAAGTCATAATTAAATTTAAGATAAATATACTAAGTAAATTTTAAACTTAAATAATAATTTTAGACAACAGGTTTCAACCAATGGATTGTCTAACAATGACAAAGGTATGTTATTTTAGATTTATCATGAGTTAAATTAGCGACTAAGGTCATTTATACGGCAAATCACATAGTCCATACAAAATTGCACTAAGTTATCCGTTGTCGAGGCATTACTATGATTATTTTTATGTTTTTTCCTTTTCACAGTCACGGTCCGGCGAAATCCTCTTAAACGATCTTGTAGACTTAAGCAGAAAATGTGACACTGATAAAAAAATATACAATCTCTCACCCGTATAAGCTTCCGTACAGATTAATTCATGAGAACTCGTTTGTATTTCATGTTGCGACAATACAAAGGCAGAAGAGCTATTCATTTCGATATTTTGGCATAGACTGTCGTCGCGTTGTGTTAACAAAAATTACAAGTTAATCTAAGTTTGACAGATAATTAGTATTTACGATGTTGACGGTCATTTATTGTTGCTGTTCGATTATAATTACATGCAAACGTTTATTAACATTTCCCGCTGTGTGTTAATTAACGTTAATTTCACAGTCGTTTGTCAATGTCTGCTGTATACTATTGTCCGTCAGGTCGATGATAGTATTATAACTATTAAATAATCGACCAAAAGGAAAAAATTCTATCTAAACTCCTACGCTTTAATTTTTCTCTATTTAAAAATATACTTGCGCTGTACATGATTTTTTAAACTTCCCTTCAGACTGTTGTGCAATATAAACATACAAAACGTTCACGGAATACATGATATTGTTATTAATTTTTGTTTTCGCACAGTACTTTCGCTCTTTTACGCATACGACCGAACAACAAAAGAATACGTGAACGTTCTACTGGCGCTTGTCAAGATGAAAAATATTAAACACGCCGTTGAATTTGTATAACCATAGAAATAATAGTTATATTAATATAATATTATTGTACTATTGATATAATGCGCAGTGAGAGAGCAATCAAAATGTTAATACTATTAACAGACGAATTGAAACTACTTTCGTACCTAAGACTTTTGACTGGTAAAAAAAACGTTATTTGTTAATGATTAAAAAAACAAAAATCTTATTCAACATTATTATTATTATCGGTCTAAGCACAAGGATCATATATCACATGTGCGTATAATGTGATAAAAAATAAGTGTTGTTCCCGTGACCGGATACCGCATACCTTTCCGGACCACGGACTCCGTCGTCGTTGTCGTCTCTTGAAGATTTTTCCGTACTCGGCGGCAGTTAAAGAGCGGGGGAGGTCTCTATGATTGCTGATCGGTACGGCCCCTCCCGGTGATGTTCCAACCGGTTGAAACCACGCGGATCGAAACTCGAAGGTCACTCGCCTCTCTTATAGCAGCGATCGAGGAAAAATGCGCGTTTTCATCTCCGTGACTCGTCGCAGAAATGCGTGGAAAAAGATGAATAGTAAAAATAAAATAAAAAATCTAAACGGCGGTCGTTTAATTCGCGTTACTTTTTTTTTTTTTTTAGGAAAAATTACAGTCCATTACGAATACGTGTGCTGATACACGTTACGCAGTACTTTGCACCGAGTTTAAGATGTTTGCAATCCTCTTGAGCCATACTTTTCATATGGATATTGACACATAAGAAATTTTGAATAATTTTTTTTTTTATCGCGGTCTAATGTTCATGTCAAACGCATGCGCAGAAAAGCAATCGCGACTTGAGCCACCAGATTAAGCGTACGAGTCGACGAGTCAACTCTGCCGCGGTGGCGGAGGAATGTGGCTCTTCGGTCAACTGTTTTCGCTTCAGGCTCACAGACCGACGGTGTGGACAATGTGCCATCGAGTTCATAAAAAAACACTTGCGATATCGTCGAACGAACCGGCTAAAAAAATTATGTCCGGTAGTAAAGGTTAATCCAACTTTTAGATAAATCATCGAGTAATACAATTCATACTGGATTAATTACCCCAAGGAATCTTAATCGTGCATTTTTGTGAACCTTAAAACGTCACACTTTTTAATAATTACAATTGCACATTGTCCTATTGACCTAATGACATTGTTTATGTTTAATTAAGACATGACATATTATTTAAAAGTGAATGAGATCGAGAGACTTTAAAAATACCTACAAGTGCACTGCGCTCGAGATCGGATAATTAAAATAGAATTGTCCGAAAAGTGAAACCATATTGTATGCTATGCATGTTTCTTGGAGATGGTTTACACCGTTAATTTAACGTTTTCTAACAAAAATAGATCAATCATACAGTATGCAAACATACGCCCATCTAGGCGTGAAATATTTT